AATCTGCCTAAAGCTTCTCTCTGAGAAGCTTATAGGTGTCACTTCCCTTGGTGAGGTCCCGAACCACAGCCTCGCACTTCTCCCAGATTCGAAGGAAAGCCTCGTGATGCAACACTGAAGCCTACAAGCAAGGAAGAAGATGTTAGAATTACCTACAACTCCAAGTTTAAAAGAAATAATAGAATGGCCCTCGAAGTTACCCGATTCTGAGCATGGTGGGCCTCGTCTAACAGGCAAGCGGCTCTAACAACATTCATCACGACTTGGTCTTCCTTGGTCACTAAGCATCTAAGGTAGCTAGCAATCCCCATAGGGGGAGAGAAGACCCGGGCATCCTCTGGGAGGAAAGCACTATGTTACGCCTACGATCGGGGTTAACAATCCGGGCCGGGAATTAGTCCACCAGTCTTGGGCTTGATAAAGAACCAGTAGCGCTCGATGACGGTGCTTTCTTTGTCTCTGTTAAGTCACCAAGCCCGGTGACATCTCCCAAAGGGGCAAACTCTACCCCATCCAAGAAGTCGTGGATATCAACCGCCCCTTGAGGACCCTCGCAAGAGAGACCTTCCAACATATTGGCCTCACGGATTGTGGCATCCGAAAATTGAGGGGATTCAGAAATATCAATCACCCCGAGATCGTCCCTCGGGACATCTTCAGATACTTTGAAAGCCTTGCCCCCAGTTTCTTCCTCGACCATGTCAGCTTGGGACGGAGTGGCCTCAACTCCTTCTATTTCAGGAACTTCGGTCGAGGCTCCCTCATCAACCAACTCCAATTCGGAGGGCTTTTGTACGTTGACACCGGCCCGCACGCAGGTCACCAGTTTGGAACTATTATCCTCTTCTTCTTCTTTGGACTCATCCCTTAATCGGCGGATCGAGTCTTAAATCATGGCACTTGTGTCCTCCCTAGTCTTGTGAGACCTCCTTGAAGGTCTTTTCTTTTCCGGGCCAGGGGAACTCGGAGCCCCTTTTCTTTTCTTCTCTTTGGCCTGCTTCGGAGTGGTGGGGGAAGGATTTCTTCATCAGCAGATGGGGGCCTCATTGCTACGTCTTTCCCGAGGTCTGCAAATGAAAAAAGATGAGTAAGCTCAAGAAGAAGCCCAAACGGTGCCATTCTAAGAAAGAGACTTACCATGATTGTGGGCCTCCCATCGACTCTTCGACAACTCCATCCAAGCACACTCGGAGTATGGTCTCTGTGACACCAGGCCCTTGACCTATTTCTTGAGCTCGGGGACTACGTCCGGCATATGGGCCACAGCTGCAATACCAAAAAATATAGATGAGGAAAGAAGATAAGAAGTAAATCAGTAAAATTAAAAAGGCAAAGTACTACTCGCGGTTCATGTTCCATTTCTCAGGGAACGACATGTGTTCAGCAGGGATCAGGTCCGAAGTCCTTATTCAGACAAATCGGCCCATTCAACCTCGGTCATGAGCCTCGTCTGTGCTCCAGAACGGGGCCTTGATGGCCTCACGAGCAAGCTTGATTAACCCTCCTCGATAGAGTTGGGGACTATAAAGACACATAAGGTGATCGAGGGTGAAAAGATGTCCCTCGATTTTTCTTACAAAGAATCGGAGGAGAATCACTATTCTCTAGAAGGAAGGATGGATCTGGCCGAGGGTCATGTCATACCTCTTGCAAAAGGCGATGATGACAGGGTCTAAGGGGCCCATTGTGAAGGGGTAAGTGTAAGCACATAGGAAACCCTCCACGTGGGTAACGATCGACTCCTTAGGCAAAGGTACCACCCATGCTTTTCGACCCAGTTGCATTACTCTTTAATCTTGTTAAGGAGGTCGTTGGTAATTGTGAATATATACCTCGAGACCGGTTCACATCGACCCGGTGCCGAGGAAGTCTTCTCAATCTTGAAGTCGGCAATAGTAGGACACCTTCCCGGAACCAAATCCTCAAGGGGATATTCAGCCGCAGCTCCGTCGCCGGCAGGCCGCGACGAAGAGGCGGTCTCGTTTTGCAGTACGGTCTTGGAAGTTTTCACCATTATAGAAGGAAAAAGAATTAGGATACGATTTGCTTAAGGTTCAAGAAATTTGGGTACAAGAGTTACAAAGCAAAGAGATTTTGAAGAGAAGCAGGAATGAGGGAAAATTTTGAGCGTTAAGTTTGAGTGGAAGAAGGTGATGATACTTATAGCTTGCTGGTGGCGGTTCAGAACCAGTAGTGGTTGACCAGCAACTGACATGCATTTAATGCCTCGGTAACCGAATCGATAGGACGTTTTTGTATCCATTTATCGCTGACGTCATAGTCGGGCTCGTCGCTTCCGTCATGGCCCATCGAAACGGGATTGGAAAAGTTCATATCATTTCTCGTCATCTTCTCTCTGAGAAACCAGTGGACTATCTATATATGGTCAAAATTGGGCTTGCCCTTTTGTATGACTGATCGAGACTGGAACGTGATAAGCCAAAGTTCAACCTCGTATTATATCGAACCATGAAGCAAAGTTAGATTACCGAGCTCATGACCTAGAGACCGATCCATATCAAGACCTAGCGAGAAAAAGATCGAGCGAGATCTGGGGAAGTTACCAAGCCAAATAACGGAAAGTCGAAATATCCGCAATCAGGCGAGGATCACAGCCGAAATCCCGGCACGTATCAAGAAGAGATCGATTAATTAGCTAATCAGGAGATTTCTTACTATATTTAGAATTGTATCAAAGGCAGGACTCCCATACTATATAAAGGGAGTCTGATCATTTGTAAAACATCATCACATTCACGCAATAAAAAGCAATATACTGCCTTCCTTTAGTTTTCATTATCTTGTTACTCTGTTGAAACTTCACTTGGTTCAAGAGAGATAGAACTCGAGGGCCAAGGCTGTTTGAATCGTTCGGTTTGCATTTATTTCTTTGCAGTCAATTTCAATATTAAAATATATCTTCTTAATTTGTGCCAAGTTATATCACGTATCCTTAAAACCACATATAAATTCAATTGTTATCCGACTTTAGAGTATACAAAGTTATTTTTGAAAAGACTGAACCATAGTTTGTGTGAACTTGAGAAGTAAGCATGCGATATACCACTTGTGCAAGCAAGGCAAGTTGCCCATATATCAAAACTTCAGGTACTCCGCCAGAATTTGTGAAGAAGTCTTCTCAAAGTTATGATACAATTTTGAACAAAAGTTCTGACGATCCACTAGGAGTTGTGCAGACAAGGCAAGTTTATTCCTCCATCAAAACTTCTAGCGATCAATCCGCTAGGACTTGCAAGAAGTTCTGAGCCACAAGCTTCAAGTTTAGAGATGCAGGATCAAAACCTTAAGAATAACACGTAAATTGCCCATATATACAAATTAAATCATATGAATAATATCCATTCCATGTAGAGCAAGACCTATCTCTTGCATGTCTTTATTCAGAGTGAAAATTGGACTTTAACACATTTAAGCATAATAGTTTCAACTTTCAAATAAATTCGGAACCAAATGCATTGGATCCACCTTTGAGCCTGTCCTATGTCTAACAATAGCATCCAATTAAATGGCCCATGACACAAATAAGATCATTTATGTGTTTTTGTTGATTTTTGACCCTGATAACAAAAGCTATGGGAATACAGCCTCGCAGCAGATTCTTTTTTGGTAATTAAGTAATATTTTATTAATCATCAAAGGAAATACAAAACGAAGCAAAGCCATGCACATCTTGCAATCCAAAAAAGCAGATTTCACCAAAACTATCAAGAAAATTGCTAATCTACACCGCTCTAGGATCAAAAAACCAACCTTCCAGGAAGGATTTCCTTCTCATCCTATAACACATTTCAAGATTAGCTAAAGCTTAGAAAGCTAAGTTATCCAAAAATTGAATAGATTAAAAGAAAAAAACGTTGAAGTACAAGCCTAATATTGCTAGTAGCTGGGGTGTTGCAAATGTAGATAATTTTCCTTGTATTACTATCACTATCCCTCATCCTCTTCACAAATACCCTGTTATTCCTTTCATTCCAGATGTCATAGTTCTCAAATACCCTGTTATTCCTTTCATTCCAAATGTCATAGATAAATTCTGCATACGCCATTCTCATCATTGGAGCCTGAACACTTCTTCCTTTGGCCATTACCAGAACATATTGCAGGAACTGCTCCCAAGTTCCAGGAAATATAAGCTGCTTCTATAGCCAAGTAAGTAATCTGCACCATAAAGATCTTGAGAATGAACACTCTGCAACAATATGAATTTTGGATTCTGGCCATACCTGACATAAAACACAAATCAGATCAACATTTAAACCCCATTGAGATGAAAGTTTCATGGCCCACTTCAACGAGATGCTGGACTCACAATTGCAGATTGGGGGTATGCCTGCTACTCCTAATGAGCGAGTTCAGTTGGTGGGCGATTTCTACTCTATTGTTATGTGAGCTAGAAGTACACCAAGTGGCTACTTAAGGGACTAAAGTGTAAATGCTGTATTAGTTAGTTAATAGGCGGTTAATACTGTATAAAAAGGGACCACCTCCTTTGTAATGAGCTGAATTAAGCTCTTCTTCAAACGATCTCTGTTTCTCCCATTTTCTCTCTTCTTCTTCTTCTCCATTTCCATTGCACGTATGAATTCCTCCTCAATTAGTGTAGATTTTATCATGGTATCAGAGCGGTGATCACAGATTCATCGGAGTTAGAAAGAAATTTGTAGAATCGAAGCTTGACTGTAGCTCAACGGAACTCCGATCTGTTCAGCCATGGCCGGAAATGAAGTTGCTTCACTAGATCATAAAGGCGCATTGGCATAGCAATGGAAAAAATGCAGTGCAATAGTTTTGTCATGGATCGGGAGTACTGTATCAAATGAGCTGATGCCAAGCATTGTCTATGCTTCAAATGCGAGAAAGGTATGGAGTGATTTCCAGGAGAGTTTTGATAGATCAAATCTAATTAGAATCTATCATCTTTGGACATCTATAGCGACATTGAGACAAGGTACTGATTCTGTAACTTCGTATTTTCTAAAATGAAGGATTTATGGGATGAATTAGATGTGTTGGTGCCTCTGTCTTCATGTGACTGTGAGGAGGCTAGACCTTCAATTGAACATTTAAGATCACAACGTGTACTACAGTTTCTTATGGGATTAAATGAAACTTACAGTAACATAAGGAGTAATGTACTAGCAAAGAGACCTGTTGTGACTGTTAATGAAGCTTATGCAATAGTTACTCAAGAAGAAAGCCAAAGAGCCCTAGGAGTGGTAGATGCACATAAGGAACCACTCACTATGTTAGCAGGAAAAAGTACAGATTTTGAGGTAAAAGGCCAGGAATCATTTGTGAGCATTGTGGCTACAAAGGTCATCTTAACGAGAATTATTTTAAGATAATTGGCTATCCAGCTGATTTTAAGAGCAAGAAGAAAAACCAGACTGGAGGAGGAAAGGTCTATGCCAACAGTGTGAATGTGAATAATGAGGAAAATAAGGTAGCAGCCGTTCAGGTGCAGGGGAATGGACAGTTCTTCATTGAGGAACAATACAAGTAGCTTGTTCAACTTTTGTCAAAGTCAGCAACACCAGAATGCTCTACTAACATGATAGGTATAATTTCCTTATTGGCAAATGCTGGTATGTGTGATTTTGATTAGGTAATATATACAAGAGCAACTCATCATGTCACATATACTAAGGATATTCTGAGTAATATGAGAAGAACTAATGATCAAGGAAGGAGTAAAGTGCAATCGCCCACAGGAAATAAGGCACAAATAACTCACACTGGGGAAGCATCTATACTGGGAAATAAGACAGTTAAAAATATCTTATATGTACCATATTTTAAATTCAATCTGTTGTTTGTGTCAAAGCTCACCAAAGATCTCAGTTTCCTAGCCACATTCTTTCCTGATTTTTGTATGTTTACGGATCTTTACAGTGGCAAGGTGACGGGGATTGGTAGAGAACACAATGGATTATACTTGCTGAAGAAGAACATAACAGTAGCTGTAGGAGGTTTCTTGGTGAATAAAAGGGCTGAAAGTAAACTCTGGCACCTGAGATTAGGCCATGCATATCTGAAGTCAATGCAGCATATCCCAGAATTGAGGAATAAAGTGGACATGCAGGTGCAAGAAAATTGTAATGTGTGTCCATTAGCTAGGCAGTGTAAGTTAAAGTTTCCTTCAAGTAATAGTAGCTCATAGTGTTCCTTTCAACTCATCCACCTAGATGTTTGGGGACCTCATAAGGTACCCACATATGATAGAAAACACTACTTTTGTTACCATTGTGGATGATTACAGTAGATATACTTGGGTATGCTTGATCCAATCAAAGTGTGAAGTGCTGGTTGTAATAAAGAACTTTCTTGTTATGATAAAAAATCAGTTTGGGGTTAATGTGAAAGTGTTGAGGTCTGATAATGGTAGTGAATTTTGTAATTCTCAGTGCAAAAAAGTTGCTAGCATCTTTAGGAATTATACATCAGAGTAGCTGTCCATATACACCCTAGCAGAATGGCACAGTGGAGAGGAAACACAGACATATCCTAGAAGTTGCAAGGGCACTATTGTTTCAAAGCTCAGTGCTAATGAGATTCTGGGGTGATTGTGTGAGGAAAGCAACATACTTGATTAATAAATTGCCCATAAGAGTGTTGCAAGGGAAATGTCCATATGAAATACTGCATAACAAACCAGCAAAGATAGAGCACCTAAGGGTGTTTGGTTGTTTGTGTTTTGCAAGCAACTTACCAGGTGGTGACAAATTCAGTCCAAGAGCAAGAAAGTCAGTTATTATAGGATACTATGAGACACAAAAGGGGTACAGTTTATTTGACTTGGATGCTAGAAAAGTGTTCATCAGTAGAGATGTGTCATTCAGAGAACAAGCATTTCTTTTCAAGGAAGGAACTCAAATCACTGAAGATTTGTTTCCATGTGAGCCTCTCATACCAAATGATTCTTTACCTGAACACTCACTGCAGAGTTCTTCTAGTGAGGTTCAGATCACCCCTGAGGAATCAAACTCCTCCACAGCACATGATCAAGTTGAAGCAGCCCAGGCACCAGTCATGGAACCAACAGCTACAACAGACACTTAGACTCTAGATTTAGTTAAAGATGCAGTAGATTCAGTTGACACTATTGATCCCACAGAGACCATTGATGTGCAGTCAGGCACAAATCCAATTCCAAGCCAGTCACTTACTGAACATGTGGCTTCTGAAACAGCTGATGTCAGAAAATCTAGCAGGACCACAAGGCCCTCCATATGGCTGAAAAATTATGTGACAAGCTCAAACACTCAAAAACATCCCTATTGCATTTCCAACAGTGTCTCATATTCTCATTTGTCACCACATTATCAAGCTTACTTGGGAATGTTCTCTTCAACAGTTGAACCAAAGAGCTTTATGGAAGCATGTCAGGACCCAAACTGGGTAGAAGCTATGCCACAAGAGATCAAGGTTCTTGAAGATAATGCAACATGGAGCATTGCTGATCTGCGTGCAGGAAAGAGGGCTATAGGATCCAAGTGGGTGTTTAAGATAAAGTATAAAGAAAATGGGGAAATAGAAAGGTACAAGGCTAGATTAATAGCAAAGGGTTATACACAGTAAGAAGGGTTGGACTATCATGAGACTTTTTCTCCAGTAGCAAAGATGGTTACTGTTAGAACAGTCATTAACATAGCAGCCTCTAAAGGATGGGGTCTTTTCCAAATGGATGTGAATAATGCTTTCTTGCAAGGGGATCTATATGAAGATGTCTACATGGAACTGCCACAAAGTTTCCAGAGACAAGGGGAGTATAAGGTCTGAAGCTACTTAAATCACTATATGGTCTTAAGTAGGCTTCAAGACAATGGAATATCAAGTTGACTGAAGCTTTGGTGAAGGCAGGGTATCATCAGAGTGCTTCTGATCATTCACTCTTCACTAAGAACACAACTTCAGACATTGTTGTTATCTTAGTATATGTGGATGACTTGCTTATTACTGGAAGTAGTGCAGAGCTGATAAAGGAAGCCAAGCAGACATTACAGAACTCTTTTAAGGTTAAGGACCTAGGGGAGTTAAGCTACTTTCTTGGCATTAAAGTTTTGAGATCAAAGAAGGGGATCCTACTTTCACAAAGAAAATATGCACTCCAGTTGATATCAGAAGTTGGAGTTGCAGGAGCTAAATCCATCTCCACTCCAATTGAGCTAGATCAGAAGCTAACAACTAATGAGTATGATAAGCATGTAGGGGTAAATGGAGATGCAGAACTTGAGGACATAGGGAGTTATCAAAAATTGATTGGCAAACTACTTTACCTGACCATCACTAGACTAGACCTGAGTTTTGCTGTACAGGTACTCAGTCAGTTTATGCAGCAACCAAAGCAATCTCATTGGGATGCATTAATGAGAGTAGTGAGATATGTAAAGGCAACACCAGGCCTTGGGATTTTGCTTGAAGCAGGACCTATTGATACATTGTCTGCCTACTGTGATTCAGACTGGGCTTCTTGTCCTAATACTAGGAGATCTGTCACAGGGCATGTTATCAAATTGGGGAATTCTTTACTCTCATGGAAGTCCAAGAAGCAACAGACTGTCAGTCGAAGCTCTGCAGAAGCTGAGTACAGGAGTTTAGCAGCAGCAGCTACAGAAATCACATGGTTCCTAGGATTGCTTAAGGAGCTACAGGTCTAGGTTCAGCAGCCAGTGTCCCTGCATTGTGATTGTAAAGCAGCTCTACAAATAGCTGCTAATCCTATATTCCATGAACGTACTAAACATATTGAGATCGATTGTCACTTTGTGAGAGAAAAGATCAAGAATGGGTAGCTGACACCACAATACATTTCCACCAATTTGCAGTTAGCTGATATCATGACCAAAGGATTAGGGTCTTCTCAGCATCATTTTCTCTTGTCCAAGCTTAGGGTGCTGAATGTGTTTCAACCCCCCAGATTGAAGGGGAGTATTGTTATGTGAGCTAGAAGTACACTAAGTGGCTACTTAAGGGAAATGCTGTATTAGTTAGTTAAGAGGCGGTTAATACTGTATAAAAGGGGACCGCCTCCTTTGTGATGAGCTGAATTAAGCTCTTCTTCAAACGATCTCTGTTTCTCTCATTTTCTCACTCTCTTCTTCTTGTTCTCCATTTCTGTTGCATGTGTCAATTCCTCCTCAATTAGTGTAGATTTTATCATACTCAATGCTTACCCATAAACTTATAGGTATTGGTAAGTGCCAGGGCGTACCTCCTGAGGAGGATATTAACACACCTGAGCCATCTGTGCACGAGGAGGAGGATCAGAATGTGGATGATTTTGATGATGCTGCTAGTGAAGATGACGTTGAGGAGGATCTTAATTGGCAATGGTGCTGATGATCTGGAGCTAGCAGGCGGGCTTTCTTCGACGAAGGCTCTGATCGAGTGACCAGGGAGTTTTCCTTTTGCCCTCATTGACTTTGTGTTGATTATGCATTAAGGTCACCCTGTATTTTTAAATGTGGGGTGGGGCAATTCCCGCGAACAGCTAGTATTAGGATGTAGAAATAACGTTAATTTTTTATTTTAATTATTTTAGCTTCTTATTTTGATTTTTAGCTGCTTCTTGTTGCTTTTGTAGTTGGTGGAAATAGTAGCCTATAGCTTAGTAATAGTAGCTTAATGCTTATGAAAATCCGTATAACTTTGGTAAAATTCAATTACCTCTGGTCGAATTTTTACCATCCACCTTTGTTTTTTCCCCACTGCTTGTTAGTTTGAGTACCCGTATGGATTACTAAAGAACTTGGTTCTTTACCGTGTTCCTTAAGCGTAAAGTAAATAAGCAATATACCACATAAGATTTTAAACTCCAACTCCACTAGAACAATGAGCCAAAAATGTATCAATTACAGGACTGCAACTCAATACTCTCCAGTACCCCACTACTCCTATTTGATTCACAAGTTACTCTAACTTGTAAAGCAAAATGTTCACTCCAACTCACTAACTATTTATAACGTTTGATTACAACTAAATTTTCTAAGACACATTCACTAGATTTACTCGGAAGAATACAAAAGCAAGTACTCAATAGAAGTAAAAACAACTTATGGCACTTTAGTTGATGTGTAAGAGGATAGTTCAGAAGTCCAAAGTCAATCTTATTTAAACACGACTTGAGATCTTCTAGGAGATCTATTCATAGTCGGCTTCCTCTTTGATAAGAGTCCTATTGTTCCAAGGATTCCACAAGCTTTGGGAGATTTGTCTCTGGCTGACTTATCCATATCTTCTTGAGAAACGACCCTTATCACTTATAGCAACCATCTTCCACCAAATTCGGACCTGGGAACTTTGAGATAAAGTTACTGTCTTGTACATATGTACAAGTATCAATCATGAGGAGTTGATCCTTTAATCTGAGGAGCTGATTCTTCACAATAGTTAAGCAACTACATTGAGGACCTGGTTCTTTGAGCAGTTAGTCACACTTTGTTAATCATCAAAACATCAATGCTCAACAAATTCCCCCTTTTTGATGATGACAAACTTTGTACACAGAACCAGGCAATCACATTAAAGAACCAGGTGATCACAACAAGTACTTTTGAACATACATGTATGTTCATAACCCATCAACCTTATCTTTCCCCTTTTGGCATCACCGAAAAAACACAAATACATGTTAGACATTAAGCACAAATAATATGAGATTCAAGGCCAAACAGCCGACTGCACAAGCATAAGAAAACGCAACTAAACTTGGCTGATGATCCAACAGAGTACAAAGCAGTAAAGCCGAGCAATAAGAGACATTAAGTAGTGCCAAAAGGAGCCTAGGGCCCTGTCTTCATCAGTAGAACAAAATAATTTAAGCACTCAGACTAGGACAAAATTAACAAAAGAAAAGACATCCCTAGAATAGCAAAGGACTAAGAACACTAGGAAGGAACTGGTTTAAGGGTGAGAAGAAGAGGGGGTCAAAGCTTTTACAAGGGTAGCAATTTGTTGAGCGTGGGCCTCCCCGTCTCTTTTGAGCTCTTCCCCGAGTTGCTTTGTTTCCTTTCTCAGCTCATTATTGTCTTCACGAAGCTTAACATTCTCTTTAACTGCCAACTCCAACCTCTTGCTGAGTTCTGCAACCCTACTGCTCCCAGGAGGAATGGTAGATCATGTGGATCCTCTAGCCTTGATCTCCTCATAGCCACACTGATTGAGGGTAACAACATACAAAATATCATTGTGGTTTCCAACCTTAAGCTCAGGAAAGACAATGTTAAGCTTGTCAAATAAATTAGTCAACATGAAACCGTATGGCATAACATGCTTTGGTTTGGAAGTATCTGCAGCTCTTTCCATGTGCTGAATCATCAGGCTAGGAAGATTGATAGGTCCACCAGTGTCAAGTAGTTCCATCACAACCATGTCTAGTAGAGTAGCTTCATGCCTTCTCTCAGACCTCTGAAGGATGTAGGAGTTGACAAACTGAAACAGTAGCTTGTGAAAGGGAGTCATATCAGTCTTGTACACTTTCTAGGGAGCATCTAGTTCAAACTTTTGGGAGAACTTCCTGGTGACCATAATGCTAGTGTCAACATCATTGTCTATGGATGGCCACTTCTTCTTCAATAATTGTCAAATCCCAAAGAAGGGATATTCAGAAGCAACCCCAGCTCCTCAGCATCAAACTCCATGTCAAAGTCTCCTACTTTACTCTTGACTACCTTCCCATCAAAAGTGAAATTTGTGTATAACTCCACTACAACAGGAACACATACTGGGGGTAAAGCTTTAACTAACATGTGCTTCCATCGCTGTATCTCAACTTTCTCAACCAGTTGAGCCGGTCCCTTCATCTTAGTGTTCACAAGAATCTTCCTATTTAGTACTTTTCTATTTCTGAACTCTGTTCGATCAACTGCAGCTGGCACATTCTTCCTTGTCTTACCCCTACTGGCCCTTGCAGTGGAGGTAGTAGGTTTGGTGACTTTGGCTCCCTTTTTCTTTGGTGTGGTAGACTTTGCTGGCAAGCTGAGTCAGATTCATCTTCTCCATCCACTTCAATAGCAGATTCCACAATTGAAACCTTCTTCCTTGGCTTCTTTGCACTTCTGGACTCCTTCATGATTTGTGCATTAACAACCTTTTTTTACTCCTTGCGAGATGAGTTCTAGAAGGAGGAACTACTCCTTTCCTTGTTGAAATTGTTGTCTTTGTAGCTTTCACAGTGGCCTTTCTGGACTTCTTCCCTACCTCAAATAGTGGCATATCATCACTACTAACTTCTTCATCTCCAGGGGAAGGAGTTAACAGAGACCCAGGTTCTTGAACCCTTGTTTCTTCACCAATTTCTTCTGAAGGGGCTATGATAGTTTCCAATTGACTTGGAACCTTCAAATTCCTTACTCACATTCCTTTCTTCTTCCTCGCTCTCGTCATCACCTTCTTCACTCCCACCTACCTTTTCTTGATCCTCTCCCTCACTTTTAGAAACCTCCTCTTCTTCACTCTAATTTTATTCTTCTGCAGAATTATTAGCTTGTTCCCCTGCCTTATCCTCTGTATTACTCTCCTTCTCATCTCCAGATACACCCTCATTCTCATTCTTTTCTTCTCCATTAGCTATGTTGTTA